TTATACTTTCATTTGTTTTGCGGTATTAATGATATAATCTTAACCTTTTTCAAATTGTAATATTTACTTGAAATCAACTGAAATATGTACCATATGTACCATAAGTACCATATTTATCATATGTACCATATTATCGTATTACCATAAATGCCATATTTAATTTCTGATATCAGGTTCAGCTACGAAATCATACTTTACTCTGAAATATTCGAAAGAACATCTGAAACTCAAATTCCTACTGATTTTATTCTATTAATCTTAACTTTCGTAATTTTTATTCAAACCCCTTCTTTTAATCAACAAATAGAATATCATCTTCAAATCTTTGATAAAATATGTAATTCTATTATTAACAACTTGCTATCAATAATACTTGAGAAACTTTTTTCGAGCAAATTGTTTGTAGCGAAAAGAATTTCTGTTCACTGAGTAGAAGAATTTGAGTACGAATCTGTATAAAAGGGAAGGCTCGAATGAAATGTCTTCGGCTAGATACTCGATTCTAAACTGAATAACTTGGCGTCTAGAAGATCGATCTCCTAAGTAGCCGTACTTTCACTCTTGCAGCTTCTCCAAACCGGCAAGGAGCTATTCAGAGCGACGTCGAATTGCTTCCTCTAAGCCTAATATTCGAAAATGACGGGCTTCTACTTCTTCAGAAATCCAGGATCGATAGTTGCCGGTGCGGTGGCTCGATCTCGTCTCGCCGAGAAGGCTCTTACATACTCTCCCGGATGAAGAGGTTTCGAAACGGTCGCACGATTTCCGCGGTATGCAACTAGATTGACTCTAGAGCACAATGATGCGAGAGTGTGCGGCTATACGCTGTTCGTGAATCACCGGAAATTTATGTTACCGAATTCGAAGGAGGGACGACGTGATAAATATCGAAACGTGACTGATATCGAAAGTACTGAACAGAAACGCGGCTGGTTGGTGATCGTACAAAATTGCATCTATTAGGAGATTACACTATGTTCATATACGATATAGCCAGAGGTAAATGTAGTTGCGATGGTCATTTCAAAATGGATTCGTCAACTAACATTGTCGACAAATATGTTTCATAGTTACATAGTTGTCAGACTATTATGTGAACGGTATAATTAAATACATGTTGCAGCATTCTGATTTTACTGATAAAAACCATCTACCATCCAATGCATTTGTATGGACCTGTTTTACCAGATAATTATAATACATAATTTGTTGCGCCAGTGTCATTCAGTTACAAGTATGACCGTGACATTTTAACGTTAATACATCGTGTTATAATGTACAACATTGTAATACAATGAATAATTAAACAAACGGTATACATAGATACAAGAACTGAAATACAAAGCAGACTGCAATGCGAATCAATAGTTAGTGTTACACAGTAATTTCTGTTGGGTTGTCCAAAAAATTCATATCATTCTCGACTAATGACACTTTTATCGATTTCACGGCACAATTATAATTAGATTCCCTCAAATTCTTCTATTTCTTGGAGATCAACGTTGATCTTATATTATATTATCTACATTATATTATATATATTATATTATTATATATTATATTATATATATCATATAGAGATCTTCTATTTCTTGGAGATCAACGTTGATCTTATATTATATTATCTACATTATATTATATATATTATATATATATATATTATTATATATTATATTATATATATCATATAGAGATCTCCTATTTCTTGGAGATCAACGTTGATCATATATTATATTATCTACATTATATTATAATATATTATATTATATATTATATTATATATATATATTATATAGAGTAGCTACCACCCACAATTTCAGTGAAACCTTATAACTCTAAAGAAAGATGGGAAAATAACGCATGATCAAATTTTGTACCGATTTCGTTCGAACAGACAACAACAGCGATGCGATATCGCCGAACCGTGAGGCGAACGATTTGGTGTCACCGTGCGACGCGTTCAATTAGGTTACAGCCTTAATCGAGGAATCTTATGAACGATGATGTCGCTTCTCTGCAAGAAAGCACCCACGTATCCATCGCAACGAGTAGACCCCGAATCGGTCACGCGACACCCGCGGCGTACAACTAGATTGATTCGAGCACAATGCTCCGAAAGTGGTCGTCTGCGTCGGGACGTCTGCGGGTGATTGACACCCGACAGCACCACTCGAAACAGTCAAAACATTTCGGACGGCCGCGTCGGGGCCTGGCCTTGACGCATCCTAGCTACGCCAATCATTGTCCCCCGCGTGATCCGTCATTAGACCGAAAACGGGTGTGCTCCCGAGGACGCGGCGGGGCTATCGATGTAGCTTTACAATGGGCCGACGTCGAAAGTTATACCCGTCACGTACGATTGGTCCTTTCGGCGGCCCCTCGTCGCGATCACGGTCTCCATTTTTGTGCCACCGTGTCCGGTTACATCGAACGTTATAGAACAATCGGGGATCGTTCCACGAACGACAAAACGTGGATCGAAATCACTAGAAACAAATATTAGCGTCTTTGACCTCTTGGCATGCGGTATCTCGCGTATGTCACGCTTATGGTGTTGTCGGGCTGCGGATCTTTACGGGAAATAAAAATTGTCTGCGCCTGTTGTAAGGAGTAGAGGACGTTTAGGAATTCGTTCTTATTTATAATACTTTCGGTAAGCCGAAAGAAATGTATCTGTTTTAACACGTTGAGCGCCGCCTCGGTCAAATATGAATGACACTAATTTTTTTACCAATTTTGAAAATTTATATATTATATCATATATATTATATATTATTATATATTATTATATATTATATTATATATTATATATTATATATTATATATTATATATTATATTCGAACAAATTGCATTTGACTAGGATGTTTCGGATGCGAAAGAGTTCCAATGTCATCCACTATGATAAATTGTAACTTTCTAGTTTCGGTTTGATTAATTAAATTGCATTGACTTTGTGGGAATTTTAGTGGTCGATTGTCGGCGCTGAACTTGTTAAGTTAATAGCTATGCTTCAGTTGTAGCTATCAGTTCATGAACAACAACTATGATACGAAAAGCATAGTCAGTATGTTATTTCGAAGTGATGATGTTTGGAAGTTACTGTAGATTTGGCAACACTGTGGGAAACATTACATCGTTTCACAAGCGTTGTTGATTTGTAGAAGAGATCACTATATAGGAATACAGTAAATTGTCTCCAATTGTTCCTCGGCCTGTAAACAAAAATTGACAATTTCGGAAGAGCAGATACGATTATTTGAGCCTCGCGACTCGTTTTTATAGTCGTCGATTGTCAATAACTATAAAAACGAGCTAGGAGAATCGAATAATCGTATGCATCTCCTTTTCCAAAATTGTCTATTTTTGTTGACAAGCAACTTTTCGGCATCCTCCATGTTAAGGTTTGGTTTTTACGAATACATTGCAATAAGCATTTATTTTCAAATCTAGTCAAAGAACTGTCATAGTTTCACTCATGTGCTAGACGTGGTAGCTATCATATGTTGCCTATTAATATACGGTACTGACGAACTTCAGTCATCAACAATCAACGTCGATCAACGCATCTTCTCACAAGATCACCTTTAAAGTAAAACTAAATACATCTCCATAGAACTATTGGGTTGGCAACTAAGTAATTGCCGATTTCAGTTATAGATGTCTCTCACTTCCATTTTTATGATATCCGTAAATGTTATATTATAAGATTATTACTATTATTATTATTATGTTATTTTTTATTATTCGTGAATGTTAGCAACTGGACAAATTGAATGCAGCGGTCAAGAAAAAGCGACCAGAATTGGTCGATCGTAAAGGTGTCATTTTCCAGCAGGACAATGCTAGGCTGCACACGTCTTTGTCCCTCGACAAAAATTGATGGATATTGGTTGGGAATCGATATTACACCCACCATATAGGCTGTCTCTTATACACATCTAGATGTGTATAAGAGACAGGGACAATGCTAGGCCGCACACGTCTTTGTCCCTCGACAAAAATTGATGGATATTGGTTGGGAATCGATATTACACCCACCATATAGGCTGTCTCTTATACACATCTAGATGTGTATAAGAGACAGCCTATATGGTGGGTGTAATATCGATTCCCAACCAATATCCATCAATTTTTGTCGAGGGACAAAGACGTGTGCAGCCTAGCATTGTCCTGCTGGAAAATGACACCTTTACGATCGACCAATTCTGGTCGCTTTTTCTTGACCGCTGCATTCAATTTGTCCAGTTGCTAACATTCACGAATAATAAAAAATAACATAATAATAATAATAGTAATAATCTTATAATATAACATTTACGGATATCATAAAAATGGAAGTGAGAGACATCTATAACTGAAATCGGCAATTACTTAGTTGCCAACCCAATAATATCGACACCAAATTGCAAACTACTAAATTCGCGTGATCTCTCTTCTACCAATTTGAACCCCGCGTAGGCTGGACGAGTATATTCGTCGCCGATCACATAGACTTTCCGCAAGGAGAGATCGGCCGAAATTTATAGCGGCAATTTCGACACTTAAATTATTGTAAGTCTGCCGGGCTGGTGTAATAGATCACCGAGGATTTACGGGTCCGGAGATCAACAGAATAATTCATCCGACGACTGGGCCACGCCAACCCCCGACATACCCCCCTACGCTCTTGGCGCGGTTAGCGTGATCATAGATCGTTGATTATCGGCCGATACCACGAGCGATGCATTGTTCTTTTCTGTTTCAGTCCCCGACTCAACAGGAGGTACTTTCGGCCCTGAAGAGACGTCTGGAGCAGACGAGCGTCCCACTCTTCCCACGGCATCGCCTCCGCATGCTCTCGAAACTTGCCGAAGGGGCTTTCGGAACGGTAACGACATTGTTATTAGAGTTCAACACGTATCTATTTTAAATTAGACACGCCCGCGGAACGCTCGGCTCTCGGGACTCGTCACGGCCACTTCCATAACAAATTGTTTCCCAATAATTCACCCTTCGGTACACCTTGCGCCGCGCGAGCCGGTGATTATGATTTCCATTGATCTCGTATCCTGCGATCTTCGTGGCTCGAACCTTGCAGGGTCGATTTGAATCGCTGTTAACGCACCTGCGGAAAATCGTTTTACGGGGTGAGGTACTGGTAATGTGTAATTTAAATAACTTCGCCGTAAAAATACATTAGAAATACAATATAATTTTAATAAACAAATTTTTAATTCGAATAATACATTTGTCAATAATATTTTAAAAACACAAGGATATGCCTTATACTCTATGCATTATTATTATTATTATTGTCATTTTGTTTAAAACGGGTTTATCATTTAAAAATTAGTGACTATGTATGAGTTTTATGGAATCAGTTCAGAAAAATTTAATCTAAATTAACTGGATCCAGCATTGTCGTAGTTCAATATTATCGCGGGATCTGTCTAAATGTTATATTTTCTTCTTCAATATCTTTAACCCGAATATCCTGAGCAAAACTGCAGCATTTTATTTTATTTCTCACATTTTCCAATCGTAATTAATGCATGCGTCGCGAAGCTCAATTTCGTATGCATAAAACGTAGCAATCAAAATGAATAAAAAGTATCAAAAAAATACGATTAAAAAAAAATTGTAATACCGTAGGTTGGTGAAACTATTTTGACTTTACAGTTAAAATGGCTTCGACCGCGAAAACTGAATCTGAATTCTGCAGAAATCAATGTTTTCCTGAAAACGCGTTGACTAAGATAATACCCCAGCATTAACGCGAGCCTAATTGCATCGCTGACAACGGGTTTCTTCGGGCTGTTGTACCATGTTTCATTCAAAATCGAGCACTACCGTTCGCAGCAACTTCCAAACCGCATCATCACGGTTTCGCGACGTCAAAGCATTCGCTCCGCGCAATTTCCGCAATATTATCATAATACACTCCCGGCTTCTGAAGTGTCACTTTACCACGGTGACGCAGTGCATCGGGTACTGTAACGTCATCGAGCCGCAGAGAGTTGAATTACACACAACCGACGTTACAACGAACTGCCGGGGTCCTGTCCCCGATCGCAAACGGGATAGAGAGACATCAACCGGCGCCGATTCGACTCGCAAACGTAACCCGCCGGCTCACCTTCCCGGTTGTTAAACGACGACAGAGAAATCAATCCGTTTGTTGGCCATACGCGGGCAACTCGCCACCGGGTTCGCGGCAACAATACGTCGATTAACGAAGTGTCTGCTCTGTTATTCTTCCCGTCACAATAGCGCCTCGTCTACCTCGTCGAGGATAATCAGTTTAGTGCGCGTTAGAGCGGCTAATAAATCCCTTTTGTTTCCTGTACGGGCGCCGCGGCGGCACGTCGTTAATGATTGGCCGAGAGACGACTTGCCCCCAATTCGGCCACGTCAGCCCGAGAGCTGCATCCCCCAGTTGCATGCGATCGCGACGTCCGCTTCGATCTACGATGCAATCGCAGCCCCGAGTAAGCAGCGGTCAAGCAAGTGTACGCAGCAACCCTCTACAACGAGCCTAATTTTATATCCCGTTCGTGCGACAATTACTGGGCTCCAGAAGCCCGTACGTTTCTCGAAAATGATTACGCGAAAGTTACACTCGCTTTCGCTTTGCGCGTCGATTCTTAACTCGCCGTCGGTGTGGTAACGCGTCAGAGAGTGACGTAAAATAAGTTGGTTGGTTATTACGGAGCCCGTTCAATTTCTTTTAGAAAATGTTTAAAAATATAATTTTAATAAGCAAACTTTTAGTTCGAATAATACATTTGTCGATAGTATTATGAAAATACAGGGATATGCCTTATAGGTAATGTATTATTATTATTGATATTGTCATTACGTTTAAAACAGGTTTACCATTTGAAAAGTAGTGATGTATGTAATGCCCTACTATATGGGTTTTATGGAAATCATTGCATCAGTAAAGAATTAAATCGAGAAATTTGTGCTTCATTTTTATTTCTACATTTCATTGCTAAACCTTCCGCCGTTTATATGATTTTATTTACGTTTATTCACGTTTATTTTACAATTCTGCTTTAGTGTGGAATAAATTAAATTTTGCCATTTTTATGAGACAACACAGGATGAAATGCAGATCTTTTCTCTTATGAATAATATCGTTAGTAATAATAATAATGATAATAATAAACGTTAGTAATATAATTATTAACGAAACTATTCAGAAGGGAAATTTATCTCAATTTCACCCTCATGTATTTCTCGCGTGTTGTCTCATAAAAATGAAAAATTTTAACAAAAATGCAATAATGCAGGACTACAAGAATATACAGTTAAAAATTTTGAATTTTTTCATCGGGTATGAGTTCATGAGATTGTTCAGAGAGCATAGAATATGCATACATATATATATATGTCGGTGTACCAATCATCATTCTAACGATAAGACAGAACTTCTTGATCACTTCTTAATCTTAATTTAAAGTTGAAACTCACCAAATTTCCTGATACATACATATGAGCCGTTTATTTTGAAAGTGGCATAAGTCACTTTGTTTTCAAGTCGATATATTTAAGGGTTTGCGTTTTAACTTTCGAGAAGATTTACTTCTATTTGTTATCTCAGGATACTGATATTTTTCTCGGTATAAATAATTTCGTATAAACATTAAAAAATCACCACTTNAATTTTGCCATTTTTATGAGACAACACAGGATGAAATGCAGATCTTTTCTCTTATGAATAATATCGTTAGTAATAATAATAATGATAATAATAAACGTTAGTAATATAATTATTAACGAAACTATTCAGAAGGGAAATTTATCTCAATTTCACCCTCATGTATTTCTCGCGTGTTGTCTCATAAAAATGAAAAATTTTAACAAAAATGCAATAATGCAGGACTACAAGAATATACAGTTAAAAATTTTGAATTTTTTCATCGGGTATGAGTTCATGAGATTGTTCAGAGAGCATAGAATATGCATACATATATATATATGTCGGTGTACCAATCATCATTCTAACGATAAGACAGAACTTCTTGATCACTTCTTAATCTTAATTTAAAGTTGAAACTCACCAAATTTCCTGATACATACATATGAGCCGTTTATTTTGAAAGTGGCATAAGTCACTTTGTTTTCAAGTCGATATATTTAAGGGTTTGCGTTTTAACTTTCGAGAAGATTTACTTCTATTTGTTATCTCAGGATACTGATATTTTTCTCGGTATAAATAATTTCGTATAAACATTAAAAAATCACCACTTTTCATCACGGTAAAGTGACTTATGCCACTTTCAAAATAAACGGCTCGTATCTCTCTATTTAAACGCCGTTGTATCGCGCAGAAAACATGAATCTCAAAAGGCCAACGGACGAAGGTCAATTTCCTTTCGAGTAATAATGGCACCCTGGGCTTCCGGTCCGACTGCCCGCTGCGTCTGCGAACGGCCGGCCGAAAGTTGCGCGATAAATTCAGGTGCGACGAGTAATCGAATTCAGGGATCATCTATTCTCGTTAGACGAATTTACGAGCATAACGAGCGGCTCGACTTTTATACCGTAATAAACGCAGCAACGGACCAAAGGCGTTTTCGTTCGGACCCGTTCTGCGAACGAATTTTTCTTCATTCCCGTGGACTGCGTATAAAACGATTCCGGTATAATGTGAACAAATTATGCTTTGCGAAGGTGTACGTGGCAGAGGCTGAAGGGATCCCGGAGTACGGGACGACGACCAGCGTCGGGAAGCGTCTCGTCGCCGTCAAATTTTTACTGCCGGAAGCCAGCGAGAAGGAAAAGTAAGTACACACGCGAATATATACATACATATAATATATATCTATATATATATATATATACATATATATGCATAGCTATATACATAGGCACATGCACACAGGCGCACACACAGGTGTCTAGACCGTATCGCTCGAGCAATTTGCATTTCGTGTCCCGTTGTTACAACGACTCGATCGTGCCACCGCCACTTCCTTCGTCTCGTTCTTCCTCCGCACGCGGCGCGATAAACATTTTACAGCCGTGGAGAACGCTCGGTTACACGGGACGTGATTTTACGCAAGATTTGTTCCGCCATCCGGTAAAGGTGGACCGTTGGAAAGTGAAACGATTGTTGGGGAATAACGGGGGACGGAGATAACCGACGCGACGGCGAAACCTCGATTAAGATTCTCTCCTCCCGTTCGAGCTGCGAATTCATTCGCTGCGATGTTATTCGATAATTTTATTCCCGAGATAAAACGTTACGCCGGCGACACCTGAGATCCGTAACCGTATTGTCGGGAGTACTTACCGTATTGCGCTGCCGCAGGCCTACCGGATATAAAAATTCATGCGAGTTTCGAAGTTCACGTAGTAAACGCGGATTTACGACCGCCCGCTTCTTATTGTGATTTTAAGGGGACTCGCGTTTGTCTCCCTACCGCTTTTGCTTCGTTTATTCGGTACTACATACTTGTATTGTACAAGTAAGCATGGGGGTGATGATGTTATCCGGACATTTTTTTGGGAACAGTTGTCACGTTCTGTTTCGTATGAGCCGTTTATTTTGAAAGTGGCATAAGTCACTTTGTTTTTAAGTCGATATATTTAAGGGTTTGCGTTTTAACACGTTTCAAAATATGGATGCTAACTTTCTTTTTGTTATCTCAGGATACTGATATTTTTCTCGGTATAAATAATTTCGTATAAACATTAAAAAATCACCGCTTTTCATTACGGTAGAGTGACTTATGCCACTTTCAAAATAAACGGCTCATATGGAAACTGCGAAATATTGAATCAGGTAATGAGTAAATCTTCTAAACTGGGGAAAAAGAGCGGGAATCATTGCGATGGCTAACAATAAAATGTAGATGTTACGATCTTAAACAAAAATGGATAACTGTTTCCTTAACAAAAAGATGCAATAGAAAGAGAATATATTATTTTAGACTTGCTAAAATTATCGAAGAAAGAAAGATATTCATTAACTCTTGTTTCTTCGAACAGAAACAGTGCACTTTTTTGTGCATCAAAATCCGCATGACTGAGAAAAAGATCGTTACCAAATTCGTTCGCTAATAAAATAGTTCCTTTGACCTAACTTTACTAACGTAAGACAGTTCGATTGTTTTTTTTTGTATACAAGATCTAGAAGAATCTCATCAAACAAACAAGTGCGACAATCAAACGGAATCAGTGTCATAAAAAACTATAATCTTTCATTTGTGATGATTTCCTATGATTTAGCTATAAAATCTCGAATATTGTAAAGAAATGCTACGAGTCACTATGAAAATAATTGTTATCATAAAGGTCGCTCATCGAACCGAAAACTCCATGTGTGTAACTGGAAACAATTGAATTTCCAGTTACTCCATTTCAAGAGCCGATCTTTCCATCGGAATTTATTTCCAATAAACCAGCTAGAAAATAGCAACACAGAATTTCAATTTTATCGAAGCATCGCCACGATTGTTCCGTGAAACCAGCATTCGCCGAAGGCGACTGTCGGAGCAGTGAGATTTTGAAGTGCTTTGGCGCCGCTACGAATAATGCAAAAGTAGTGGAAAAGAAAGGAAGCATTTCGTCCTGGGTTTGCTAGTGGACTCATCGCTGAAGCTATCTAGCAGATTCTGTGGAGATCTGCAAAAGTTATTATTTAAATTCTGGTCATAGGCTCAGATCAAAATGTTAAGAATCGTGAGTTTCTATTTTGTTGCCATTCCAAGTGGAGATATAATTATTCGAACCTCGCAGCTCATTTTTATAGTTGCCGATTGTCAAGAATTATATGAACGAGCTGCAGGGTTCGAATAATCGTATCTCCTTTTCCCGAATTGTCCACTTTTGTTTACAAGCTGAAGGAAAATTTATTGTAATAGCAAAATTGAAAAGAACTATAGTGAATTCTCCCTAATTGACGCTAAGCTTGGAAACAAAAATGGACATTTTGGGAAGAGGAGGCACGATTAATCGAGCCTTGCGGCTCATTTTTATAGTTGCTGATCGTCAGAAATTCTAAAAACGAAATACAAGGCTCGAATAATCGTATCTGCCCTTTCGAAATTGTCCATTTTTGTTTACAAGCTGAAGGAAAATTTATTGTAATAGCAAAATTGAAAAGAACTACAGTAAATTCTCCCTAATTGACAAGTTAAGCTTGGAAACAAAAATAGACATTTTGCGAAGAGAAGGTACGATTACTCGAGCCTTGCAGCTCATTTTTACAGTTGCTGATCGTCAGAAATTCTAAAAACGAACTACAAGGCTCGAATAATCGTATCTACCCTTTCGAAATTGACCATTTTCGTTTCCAAGCATAGCGTCAATTAGGGAGAATTTACTGCATTTTAGCCATTGTACAGTAAACTGTTCGCTCTAACGCCTTCAATTCAAGTCACTGTATACGGATCGGCAATAGATCTGATAGCCGCAGGAGAGGTATCCATCCACTGGCGAGCATAGCAGGTAGTTTCCACGGTGGCAACGGAATCGAATCTATTCCGGCAGTCGGGCAAAAAGTAGCCGTAGCTCGCGATACTGAGAGATTCAAAGTGCATCGAGCGGCCGTCCAGCCGAAATGGCTGTCCTGCACATAAAATTCATAGCGCGGCTCTGTACCGAATGTCCCGGTTTCTTCCGAATGCCAGGGGCCATGGTCCCCTGCAGCAAGGCGCGTTGTTTATAGAGGAAACCCCACGGCGGCGGTGAAACGTCCAGATACACCGTGGAAGACGATCGTTCTCGCGGCTATCAAGCTAGACATCAGAAAAAGGCCAGTTCGATTCCACGAATGGAATAGATTTGCATACAATGACCGGTGAGATAGGGTATCGAGAGTTCGGCGCGCTTCGTGGCGACACGAGCAGGAGCCAGCTAGGATCGCGAACAGATGGGGTGAGTTGCCAGAGGGGGTTGGGCAGGGGGGGAGAACGGGGGGAGGGACGAGCGAATCCGGCGAAGCAGATGACAAAGCTTCCATCCGGCGAAAATCGACGACGTTCATCGGATATCGTAGCAGTTCAGCCTTTTGTGAGCGAGGAACTCTGCGTCCCGTTTGGCGAGGGGGGCGAAGGGGGGAGGACGCGCCAGGGAAGTTTCATCGGCGCGAATGAGTTATCCGATGTTCGCTAAAAGGAAGGCCGGAAGCGTACGGAAAGATGATTCGGTCCCGAAGACTTTTAAGCCCTCGCAGTTTGTAACTAATTCTAGGGATATCGCGCCCGGTCCGTTTCCTTCCGTACCGATGGGGCTCGTTTGTTCCGGTAATGGGTTTCGTTTCGTTTATCTTTTAAGCCAGTCGTATTCTGCATACTCCTGCTACGTGTAACTTCCTGATCCTTGAATCTTTTCTGCACGAACGGAATTAAAAAGGCTCGGTGTCCGTCGGACACGGGTTTAAATTAATAACGGAATTGTTGAATTTGAAGAAGTCCTTTGAAATTTTTACCGTGACACGTTTCACACGTTCAGTTTCGTCGTAATTGCGTAAAATCTTTCTTTCTCTTTGCGAAGGATTTCATTTTACACAGATCTACGGCGCGATTGAAGCGACTGTTTTACATTGCTTTATGCAAATTCGAAGATATATATGTATACACAATGCATAGTGTCAATGAGTTTCTCCTACGTTTATTTGCTTTATTTTTAACATTTTTTTTTAAATGCATTTTGTTCATTCATCAATTTGTTTAATAGCTGCGATGAAAAAGGCTATTCAATGTTATATATCAACATTCTCGAAGGTATATCTGATCGAATGCAATAAATAAAAACTCAATGAAAATTATCAGTTCTTCATTACAACGTTACGAGATGAAAGGAAAAATATTACTTTCGAGCATAAAAAGAAATTAATTGTGTGACATTGTTACGTATTAACTAGTAGAGTTTCCAAATTACGTGTATTTAAATATGAATAATGTATGTAGTTACAACACGAGTATAATTTTATTGAAGAAATAAGACAATGGTAATGTGCCATTTAATATGTACAGTAATTTCTCTCTAATTTGCGCTTGGATTGCGCACAAAAATGGACAATTTGGGAAGAGGAGATACGATTAACAAGTGTAAAAACGAGCTGAAAGGCTCGAATAATCGTATCGCCTCTTCTCAAATTGTCCATTTTTCTGCACAATCTGAGCGTCAATTAAGGAGAATTTATTGTATTTTAATTTCTGTCGATTAAATAAATCTATCGAATAAATACAAATGTATCTTCGGAAGAGCTCTTGCATGCTCTGAATTGTAAAGTGAGGGATCTGCGAGGAATCTTTTCGGTTTAAGCAACAATAAACATTTCAAGATTAAACATTTTGCTGAAGAATTATCTTCAAATTCTACCAAAAATATAAATCACATTATCTTTAATGTTCGAGTTATATCTGATCGCTGAACATTTATGTTTAAACTATCTTCCACTAAAAGAATCGAAGACAATGCGCCTGAGGCAATTATTTAGCCAATATGGCAATTTCTAATGGTTGCAAAAGAAACATTAAAGTAATGGTAAAGTAAGTATCAGTATAGTATATACTGATATATATAAAATATATAATTGATATACATAATAACTGATATATAATTATGTGAGATATATATAATTGATATACATAATAACTGATATATAATTATGTGAGATATATATAATTGATATACATAATAACTGATATATAATTATGTGAGATATATATAATTGATATACATAATAACTGATATATAATTATGTGAGATATATATAATTGATATACATAATAACTGATATATAATTATGTGAGATATATATAATTGATAT